CACAGCCATCTGAGAGAATAAATGCTTCCTCGTCTGTCTTAAATGTGCGACCCCCATTCTGATATTAGGTGCTCTGGTTCAAGACTGCCCAGAAGGAAAACCAATGTTTTTTGTGTCCAACATGTTAAATCTCAAAGAAACCTGTCTGCTTTAATAAGGAGCAAGTCTTTTTTTGTAGTACTGTGTCTGAGCATGTGAAGTCAATGGATTTCAGCGCTTCCTCCTGTTTGGTTTCATCCTTGATATAAACTTTCACTGATTCTGACAGAGCTGTCCCCTTTATGTCTTTTAATGTCAGGAATTCACGTTCATTTTAAGAATTTGGACAGGAACAATAAAATCCTCATTCTTATTTGGGAATCAAACCAAGAACACAGCAGTTGCAATGCTGAATCCCAAAAAGGAAGGTGCGCACAATACTTGCAACTTTTCATCTTGACACTGCTTTTGACCTCCTTCAGTTCCAAAATGAGATTTTAACACCACGGAGAGAGGCCCTTCAGCCCATTGTATCAATGCCAGTCATCAAACATCTCACTTCCAAACCCAGTTTCCAGCACTTGGCCCATTGCCTCGTTTGCTCTGATGTTTCAAGTGCTTATCCAAAGTTATTGAATGGCTCGAGGGCATTAGTGGAACATAAACACTTTCTTCAACAAACAATAGGAAACTTTGCTCTTTGTTGCAATGTGAAATCTGCGTTTTCCTTCTTGAAGACAGTTATGAAAGCCAAACTCTTTCTCAGAGCCGTTTGCCAGTTTTCCTCATGATGCCAACAGTGTGGGTTTAAATCCCACATCGCCTGAGGTTACCACTAATGACTCTCCCCTTTCAACCTCTCTGCTGACATGAGATGTGGTGTCCCTCAGGTTAAAACATCAGCAGCTTTGCCTCCCTAATAAGAAAGCAGCCCTGTGACCCGGAATGTCTCACAAAGTTTCAGACTTTGTGATATTGTATCCCTGGGATGCAAAAGGCACGTTTTATACTCTATTAAATGTGTTATATATGTCAGTTGTCCTGGTAGGAAGAGGAAGATTCCTTGTACATATCACGCCAAATAAAACTCAATCTTTACAATGGTGGGCACTTAACCCAGAATTTCGAGCGCTATGCGCAGCATTGCTTATGACTGCGCAGGCTCAGTATGTTCCCGAGTGCCCACAGTGTAGAGCATGCATATTGGGAGTGATCCTGAGAAGCCGTTGCTTTTTACCTCGGCTCCACAAAAGGTAACAATGTGGCGGATCAGAGGAGGCGATGGACCGGGCGGTTAGATGGGGAGGCTTTCTAAACACTTCGTGGATGCGGCAGACCCCGCATAAAGAAACTGTTTGCCCCCGTTTTACAAAACGGGACAAATCGAGTCTCCTTCTTAACGGCAGGCCACGGGTAACGGCCGCCATCTTCGTAGGAGGCAAAGGGCAGCAGGGCGCATGTGCGGTCATTCTGGGCCAGGAGAGAGGATGTTGTGAATGTCTTTGCTGGACTGATAGGAATGGAGTTTATAAACGCCTTTTACTGGGAGTCAGGAGGGCAGCATTAACACACAGCAAACTCCAAATCAAATAAATATTTGCTTCTTCTGAAATTTTGTCCCAGACTGACTGAGATGGCTTTTGTAAATTTTTTTTACAGCACGTTAGAAGAGGATTTGCAGATCGAAAACCCAAACCAAATGATACACCAAGATCTAAGTGAGCCACTTTATTCATTCAGTACTGGATATTAATGGCCTTTGAATGTAAGTATTGAGTAAAATAAAAATAACATAAAATTCCTTCCTTACATCTCCCAATAACTATTGCCCAATATCTGTGTGTCTCATAGTTTTACTATCAGTAAAGAGGAACAGCTGCTCTTTATCTACCTTATTTAACCCTATCATGAATCTAGACACTTTATCAAATCTCATCGCAGCCTCCTTTGTTGTGTGCAGAGCAACTTCAGTTTTCTCCAACCTGACCTTACAACTAATATCCCTCAGTTCTTGAGCCATTCCGATTCATTTACTTTCAAATCTCTCCTCAGACCCTCACATCCTTTGTGGAGATCACCTGTTTGTGCAGACCCAAATGCTCTGTGTTCAAGTGGGTGATGTTATCACACACGGGCAATTGCTCAGTGACATCACGCTGATTCCTGGGTATTTCCTGAACTGTAAGTTTGCTCTGATTTGAGTGCTTCTGATATCTTTTGAGCCACAGATTCCGCATTTGATTTTAAAATGTTATTGGTTTCTGTGAGATCTTCCGTGTTCTTCTAAACGCCAGTGAATTTCATCCTATCTGATCCATTCTGATCTAAAACGTCAGTCCTGCCACTCCAGGAATCAGTCTGGTAAACGTTAATTGGAGCATCTTCATAGCCAGAACAGCCTTAGTCAGATACGTGTTCCAAAACTGCACACAATGTTCCAGGTGTAGTCTCAAAAGACCCTGTACACTTTCAGCAAGATATCCCTGTTCCTGTTCTTATTTCCTCTCGCTATGCAGGCCAACCTAGCATTTGCCGTCTTCATTTCCTGCCTCTGCCTGCATGCTTGCTTTCAGTGACTTGTGTGCAAGGACAAACAGATCTAATTTCTCGTTTCTCGTTCCCCTTTTGTAAATTCATGCTGACTGACTACATCCAATCTGTCACTGTTTTCTAATGTTAACTAACCGGTCTATAAGTTAATGTTTTCTCTCTACCACCTTTTTAACACAGTGGAGTTACATTAGCTCCTTTCCAATTATGGGAACTATTCCAGAGTCTATAGCAGTATGAAAGATAATCATTAATTTCCTTAATTTAGATTCAAGCTCCTTGTTTCAAAATGTATCCATTATCTCTCAGGCCACTTTAAGTAGTCTGGGCTGTAGAATACCAGGTGCTGGGATATGTTGGCTTTTAATCCCATCAATTTTCCCCAGCATCATTTCCCTATTAATACTGATTTCCTTTACTTGCTCTCGTGTTCCCAACCTTTTTGGGGATATTATATATCTCGTTGTTTGTGATGACAGAACCAAAATATGTAGTTAATTGGTCTATCCATCTCTTTATTCCACATTATAACTTCCCCTGTTTCTGATTGTAAGGGACTTGTTTTCATTATTTTTTTTCCTCTTCATATCCCTTTAGGAGCTTTTCCAATTAGTTTATATGTTCCCCACAAGCTTACCTTTTGACTTTATTTTCCCCTTCTTAACCAATCCCTTAGTCCTCTTTTGCTGAAATCTGAACTGCACCCAGTCTTCAGGTCAGCTGCTCTTTTTTAGCTAATTTGTATG